ATAATGTGACCACTTTTATCTGTGCATAAAGAAATTGTCTAGGATTTATATGCAGAAAACTTCGTGTTATGATCTATATAAAAAAAGCGTTGAGTTTGAATTTAGCGCAGCTCACATTCGATTGGTTAATCACGACAAATCGCATAAGTCTATTTTTTATTATGTTTTAATTCTAAAAAAAAGAGGAAGTATTCTGCTTTTGAAATTAAATTAATCATTTGCTCGCAAGTAATTCAGCATCGCCTGAAGAGACACATTAGTAATGTCGAAACATAATTTTAATTGTGTGGCGATTTTTAACGGGATTTGTTTTAATATCCTAAAATAAATAATAATTTAGTTCTACTCTGTATTGAGAACTCTTCTAAATTAAATGTTACGTACAGCGGAATTATGCATCATTTGTTCTCATTTTACCTATATATATATATATATATATATATATATATATATATATATATATATATATATATATATATATATAGCTGAATCACTAATATTCCATTGTTGTAATTTATTACACTGGAAGAGTAATGACGACTCAATTTGTCAGATCTACAAATTCGAAAAGATTTTTTTTTTTTGAATTTGTACGTTTGATGAATTGGATCGTGATTACGACTCCAATATAATAAATTATAACCATGGAATATTAGTGTCTGAGCGTTTTATATTATATTCTTACTCTGTCCTGGACATTGACTTCTACCTGGATTCCATCCTCTTCGAATTTATATATATATATATATATATATATATATATATATATATATATATATATATATAATTATTTATATATTATATGCATGGTACTTATTAGAAAGCGCTCAATATCAGAGATAGAGCTAACATATTTCGTTGGATTGATGTGAGTTTGTGAAACCGAGCGTCACAAACTCACATCAATCAAAAATATATATATATATATATATTATCAATATTTATTATATATATATATATATATATATATATATATATATATATATATATTATCAATATTATATATATATATATATATATATATATATATATATATATATATATATATATATATTATAAGACAGTCAATGGTCAGAGTCAGATTGGCTGATCTTTATATATATTTTCTCTATATTTATATTCTATATACTTATTTTAACACACATACAAACAAATATATATGTATATATATGTGTGTGTGTGTGTGTTTGTGTGTTTGTGTGTGTATGTGTATGTATATACATACGTGTATTCATGACAATTACTGTAGTGTGCTTTAACTATTAATCTTACAAATAACAACGTTTTATTTCCATGATCGAAATGCATTTTTCTTTTCTTTCTGATATTTAGACAACAGATTAGATTTTTCGCCCACGCTAGAGTTTCTCTTTTTATCGAAATTCCAGATAATTTATATTCCTTCATGGATTTGTTTACATTTTCCTGCGCAGTTTAGTCAGGACAATTTTTTTTTTTTTAATTTATTTTTTTTTTATTTCTATTCTTTTCTGGAATATTCTCGAAGACGAAGATGGTGTGTGTGTGTTGGGGGGGTGCCTCTATAGTTTATCTATCTGCATTTTGTTAAAAAAAGAAAAAAAGAAACTATGCAAATTTAATCAGAATGATAATTCAGCTTTTCCAATTATTCATAAATTCATCCTTCCTTAGCTTAAATGTTATCTTTAACGTCAAAGACATTGCAAATTCAGAGTCCATAAGATTCTTGCTGATATTTCCATTCTTTGCTATTCGTACTCGCTGACATCGACGTCGGGGTTGAGAAAGCCAGCAACGCAACATATGACAAACGAGGACATATTTATAAAGGATAGTAAATATAGCGAAACTGTGACTGAAAATCGGCATGAGATGATTGTAACAATTGAGGAAAGACGGTATGGAGAATGTTCCACTAAAAAATAAAAAGTAAAGAATAAAAAAAGAAAGAACTAAGAACATATAATTCAGGCGAAAACAATAGTCCAGAATCCAAGCTTAGAGTCCATAGAAAAAAAAAATCTCCGACATGAGTAAAGTATAAATAACACAGGAAAGTACTCAATACATTAAGTAGAGCAAATATAATTATGAAACTATAGAGCAAGGCAAACCTATCTATGTTTCACCTACGCGGATCGTCAGGGTACGCTGGCCAAAGAGGTAACATTAGAAGAGAATATAAATAACCTTTAACATAAAACCATGACTATGTGACCAAAAAATAAATAAATAATAAACAGTAACTCAACAACGTTTTTTTTGTAGGTTTGTCTGGCTCTTTAGGTTCATAGTCATATATATATATATATATATATATATATATATATATATATATATATATTAAATGTATATACCTATTTGGTCTGCTATTTGAGCAGAATCAAATGCTCCCAATGGGACATCGAAATTGTCTCTGCTTTTTTTTTTTTAAATCCAAGTAGTATCATTAAATTAAAGTAAAGTTATTACATCCGTTGGTATATGATCCAAGTGGATGCTAGTCATATAAAATATTAAAACTGTTCCACAGAAAGTGACTAGTGTATTTATTATTGCAGAAAAATCATTAGTACACAATGAAATCCAAATTACCACATATGGGGAATAGGTTTATTTCAACCGACGTGATTCGTCAATCATATTCAACATCGTAGTTCGTGTCGGAATTAGAAATTTTACTATTAGAGCTAAACACAAATCATCGAAAAGCTAATACAAAATTTATCCATTTCAATGTTTCAGTCAGACGAAAGGCACGAGACAGTCGTTAGGGAAGGGTGGAAGGTATTAGTCTTAAAGAGTAGAGGCTTTATAAAATTAAACCGGATATTAACCTTATGACATTAAACAGGTGTTATACAAAGAATGAAAATTAATTTGAAATTTAGAGAGGAATAATTTTTAATAAAAATGATATCGTAAATTTTATACTTTAAAATGCAAAACCATACTTAAAAGTACTCTTCCAAAGACAAGTTATATTTAAAAATAAGATATATTTTAATAAATGAAAAATAAGTTATATTTAGATAATTTATGTTAAAATTAAGTAAAATTATAATTTAGAAAAGTTTTATTTAGTATAATATCAATAGGTTATATTGAAGAATAAAATATTTAGAAATAAAAATATAATATGATAAAATAAATTATACATTTAGAAATAAAATATGATAAAATAAAAAAATACATTTAGAATTAAAAATATAATAAAATAAAATAAATTATACATTTAGGAATAGAAATATCAAAATAAAATGCATTATACATTTAAAAGTAAAAATATACTAACAAAATAAAATATACATTTAGAAATAAAAATATGATAAAATAAAATCCATTATACATTTAAAAATAAAATATAATAAAATAAAATAAATTATACATTTAAAAAAAAAAATAAAATAAATAAATAAAATAACTGTAAAGATAATTTAAATAAAAAATAGTTATATGTAAAAAAAATATAAAGTTATACTTTAAAATATAAAGGTATATTTAAAAGTACAAAGTTATATTTAAAAATACAAAGTTATATTTAAAATCAACCCTAAAATAAATGGATAAGGATGTGTAAGTGATAAAAGTAATATTTCTGGGATAAGGTATTCTAACTAATTACATTATCAGCGTCTTCCGAAATTTTGCCCTCATCTTTATTAATTGAAACTGAGATATCCAAAAAAAGCATGTCACGTGGAATTTGAATCATCTAAAACTGTAGATTAGATAAAGAGATCGATTTCTAATTCTAAGTTATATCTCCTGAAGAGTCTGCAACGTACAACGGCTAAAACCCCATGAATGTGTTAATACAGATGAGGATAACAGGTTAAACTATGTAAAAATTATAAATACCATTGATTGCGTTTCGCAAATGTAAAGCCTATTGCATTTTCTCATTATATAGTCCTCACACGTTGTCAAGACATACACAATGACATGATTTACACGATTTGGACTATTTTAAGTATACACCCGGTATATATATATATATATATATATATATATATATATATATATATATATATTAAGAAATGGACAAAGTCCGACAATTTATCTATTAAAGACATTTTTTATGTTTAACGTTCTTTTTATAGATACACGTATTTAAGTAAATGCTCTGTTTATAATAAACAGTATTAAATAACATTTACCGGCCTGAATGTCCGAAAATATTCGTCCTTTGACAGGATTCGAACCTGCATCGTATACGGAACAGTCATTTACGCTGACGTGCCTTGACCGCTCGGCCACAAAGGATTGTACGAGATTCATGGAAGATTGAAGTTTATAAGCAGTAAATTCAACCTTGCCAACCGAACGAAAAGGAAACATCCGTAAGGAAACATCTTTGACGACCTTTCCCGAACGATTATATCTGCTTACGGAATGTACCTTAACGTAAACATTGAGAACATACTACGAAATGGATTATGTACGACAATTATTTAATATATTTTCAAGTAGAAACATTTTTTTTTGTTTAAATAAATTGTATTAATTACATTTAAAGTACTGAATTTCTAGAACATTTAAGCCGGTAAATTAATACGGTTTAATTAAAACACAAAGCATTTACTTAAATATATTTTTCTATTAAAAATAACGTATAAACAGAATATATAGGTCATGTTTCATTGTAAAAAAATACGAAAATAAAGTAAATAATAACGGAATTATTTGTTTTGTTTCATTTAATTTGCACAATTAATTTGTTTATATAAATGGATGACTATACGAGGTGCGAAAGGAAATGGCGAAAAATGACAAATATTGCTAAGAGTTAGAACTGGTGGGAAGCTGTTGAGAACCATGTTCGCCCACGTCTTGAAGGAACGCAGCGCGTAGAAGGAGAATTCCAGATAATTAAATATTTAATTGTAAGGGTGGACAGCCCACCCCATTGTCGTATTGCCATAAATCCTCTTTTATACATTGGTTATCGGCATTTAACATTTTACCAGACAAATCTAAAGTTGGTCAATATCTTTAATTTAAAAGCAAGCGTCTCAATGCACTGTCTTTCCTTCGTAACTGTCTATTTTCCTTTCCAGTTGATTTCTTCAAACTTTCTTACACTCACGCGGACGGCTTCCGTCTCCACGCCACGCCCATACCCTACCTGTTTTTACTTACATTTCTTTCAATATCGACAATATAAATGCAAATGCCGGTTGCTTAAGTGCGGGCACACTCTTTATAAACTACTGGCCGGGTCGCCCGGGATGAGCGGCCTACCATTTTTCAGTGGCTTTCTGTGCGCAAAGACAATAGAAAATAAAGACGACTTAAATCGTTTAGCGTCGTCAGATACGACTTGGGTGCATTTGTCATTTTTTTTTCTCTTTCTCTGGCCTACCTGACCTCGTCCGAGCGCAAATTCGCCGGCTTGCCTCTCAGGGACGAGACAGTCAAGCTCAATGTTAGATAATAAAGTTTTAATAGGGCAAATACATCACCGCACAGTGAGGGCGAAATTCGATTCTGCCATGAGTTGGGTAGTTACAATGATGAATAATTGGAATACAACGGACAAGAAGAGTTTAAGAAAACTTTACGCATAAAAGATGCATGAATATATATTACTTTATCTCTACAGACGCCCCAGTCTGTTTACATTTCTAACATACACATCTGAATATATTCATATCTATCTATCTAGCTCTCTAGCTAGCTATTTATTTATCTATCTCCCTATATAAATATATATTTGTGTGTTTGCCGGTGTTTGTATGCGTGTGTGTATCTATCTATCTATCTATCTATCTATCTATCTATCTATATATATATATATATATATATATATATATATAAATATATATATATTAATCTAAGTTTATTCCAATCTATCTGTTTGTATTCTATATCTGTATTCATACGTATATCTGTATATCTATCTATCTATCTATTCATAAGCATCTTTACACACGTCTATTCCTATTTATCTATCTATGTGCGTGTATATATATATATTTCTATTCATATGTGTATATAGATATTCATACATCTATCTATCTATTCATAAGCATCTTTACCCACGTCTATTCCTATCTATCTATCTATCGATGTGTGTGTGTGTATATATATATATATATATATATATATATATATATATATATATATATTTCTATTCACATCTGTATATAGATATTTATACCTATATCTGTCGGTATATATATATATATATATATATATATATATATATATATATATATATATATATTTCTCTATATACACACAGACATATGTCCTCAATTAAGTACTACATCCGCCTCCGCAATATAATTCTTTTTAAACACAAGTATAACCCAATGTAAGGCACAAGAGCTACTCAATATATTTGGCCATTTTGTGGGTTGATCTTAAGTGAAGGAAATAAATGCTGATGGTGAGCATATGTATGATCGATGAACTGACACTTGAAGAGTTTAAGATTTTAGTGGTCAGGGGAACATTCCTTCAGGAGTCATTTCCTCAAATAGTTCTGTGGAAAAAGCTGAGTTGAACTTCTTGCTTACCAATGGAAGGCGAAGGGAATAAATGTGACTCGACCCTGTGTATGTGAAATGGTCTGTCCTACCTGTAAAGGTCTCAACTGGTTGATAATATGAGTGTAGCCTATCTGAATATTTGACATATAAATAGCAATATATATATATATATAAATTATTTATTCGAAAATTATAACATAAATATGTTATAAAATCACTACAAAAATAGCCATTTTCTTTCAACACTTCTGGTAACTTCTCAAGTGATGGTCTTGAATGTATAATAAAGGGTTTTAAGATGTTCAAATCAATCAAACATCCCTCGTTAGGGGAAATGATGTTATATAAGCTGGAATGACCTTTCAAAAAATAAGTATGTGAGAATTCAAAAACTTGACCCCGGTCTTAGGTTAAAATACTTATTTAATGCTTTTATGTTAGGGTTAGACTAAAATAGAATTCATTCTAACTAATAATTATTAAATTATACTATAAAATTAAAAATCACTAATTTTAAATTTAATCTATTTTAAATTTAAAATTATAAAATTATTTAAAGAAGAAACTGAGGAAAAATACATATGATTTATATTATTTTCGTTTTTTATTGAAATTAAGTTAGAATAAAGGTTAAGATTTAATGTTGCTCTGGGCTTCGTTACAATTTGTATACATTTGAAGTAAAAACATGGGCAATGGAGGATGAAATCTTACAAAACAATACATACACAAAATCAGATTATAATACACAAACACGCAGACATAGTTAGATATATAAACACGCCAAAAAAGCGACGAGGCAGGAAATATGTCCACGACCCTTAAAAAATTACGACAACATACACACAATGAAAGGTACATACAAGCGACCATACACACGACATCGACACAGTATTTGTTGGTCATTGGAATTTATTTGAGCACTCTTTTAAGAATAGTATTTATTGGTTATTGGAATTTATTCCGTATACACCAATCTTATATATATATATATATATATATATATATATATATATATATATATATATATATATATAACGAAAATCTTGGTAATCCTTATGGATAATCCCAAGGAGGATACAATCCTGAGAGCTCAACATTAATTTAGAGATAATAATTTCAGAAAAACAGACCACTTTAAGGATGGTGAAATAAACTATTACAATGGAGCCTTAAAGTGGTCTGTTTTTCTTTTAATATACATATATATATATATATATATATATATATATATATATATATATATATATGAAAATTTCTCCGATTTAACCAGTAGAGAAGACAATATTTATGAATAAAAATGACAATAGGAAAACTGATAATTGCTGACGCGTTTCGTCCAATGTGGACTTTATCAAAGCAAAATAATTTCGTAAGAAATGTATTGTCCGACAATTATTTAATATATTTCCTGTTTATACATTATTTTTATAGATACAATTTATTTAAGTAAATACTCTGTTTTTAAATAAAAAGTATTAATTACATTTACCGGCCTGAATTCTCGAGAAATTTCTGAGACAATATGCTTTCTCCGGAAGGAATCGAACCTATATTCCAATGCAGAATAGCGTCTTGTAAGCAAAGTTGAAATTAACGTTTTTAAACACTCACTTTTCAGCGATTATTCTCGATGGAACATATCTGTTCACAAAACGTATCTTAATTTAAACATGGATTAATTCCGAAAGTTATTTAATATATTTTCTGTTTATACCTTTATATGCTATCTATATATCTATGATGGCGTGAAAGTGTTGATTCGAAAATATTTCGGCAGAGGTTCTTATATATCTATTATCTCTTACTAAAATAGATACATATAAATGGAATAATTTCTATTTTTTAAACAACAGTGATACTGTTATCTTCTCTCCTTGTGGTACTAAGTCGTATTAAAGAAAATGTGCCTCAAGACAGGAATCTATTATGTATTTTGGAAAACCAGTTCAGCTTAACATAGTATTTCTTTTTTTTTACTTCCTTTAGCCCAAGAGAAGCCATTATAACAAAAACTAACTCAGTTATCCTATTTAAGATATGCTCATCTATTGTTGGGAAAACTCAAATCTATAGATTCGAAATGTAATCAAAGTATTTTTATCTATGTCAACCTGACCATATCTATCTATCTATCTATCTATCTATCTATCTATCTATCACTTTCTCTCTCACTCCCTCTCCCTCTCTCTCTCTCTCTATATATATATATATATATATATATATATATATATATATATATATATAATACAAATATAGATATAAATATAACTCGTCTGGTTCATAGTTATACATATATATAAATATACATATATATATATATATATATATATATATATATATATATATATATATGAAGAAATATAGTTTTAAGGTGTGCTATATTGATGGGATATCAGAGATCGAGCGAATGTAAAATAAAAAAGTCAACATTGAAGTCAACACTCAGAGGCGACAGGCTGTTTCATGCTAGATGCAACCGTCAGGTTGTCTGGCGATTGCGTCTTGCACCAAACTGTCTGTCGTCTCTGAGTGTTGACTTCAATGTTCACTTTTATATATATATATATATATATGAGTAAATGGCATTACCCTCTCCATAAATTTAGATCTCATCTGTTAAATGATGTTTTAATAGGGTTTCAATTAGATCTTAGTTTTCTATGAATCGAAAACTTCATGTGGATGTACCAAGTGTTCTAATGATGTTGTGTTGAGCCGATTTTTTTAATTATGTCCTTTCTTTAAAAAATCGATGACGCGCTTCTTTTGTTGCATGCTTTATATATAACTATCTAGCTGTCTGTCTATCTCCTTCTATTCCTATCTATCTATCTATCTATCTATCTATCTATCTATCTATCCCAATGTGTTCCTATTTACCTATCTATATATCTTGGTCTGTTTCTCTCTATCTATGTATCTGTCTAAGTCTATTCTTATCTATCTATCTATCTATCTATCTATCTATCTATCTATCTATATCAGTCTATTCCTATCTATCTATCTATCTATCTATCTATCTATCTATCTATCTATCTATGTATTTCAGTCTATTCCCATCTATCTATCTATCTATCTATCTATCTATCTATCCAAGTTCGTTACTACTTACCTATCTATTTATTTATCTATCTAAGTCTGTTACTGCTTATCTATCTATCTATCTATCTATTTATCTATCTATCTCAATCTGTTTCTATCTATCTATCTATCTATCTATCTATCTATCTATCTATCTATCTATCTCAGTATTCCCATCTATCTATATCAGCCTATTCCCATCTATCTATCTATCTATCTATCTATCTATCTATCTATCTATCTATCTATCTAAGTCTGTTACTACTTATCTATCTATCTATCTATCTATCTATCTATCTATCTATCTATCTATCTCAGTCTATTCCTATCTATCTATCTATTTATCTATCTATAATCCTACCCCTTTAGAGCTTCAGAGTATTTGTCTTTATTACAATGTTCATCAAATACGAGGACCAAGAAACACTTAAGATAGATCATTACTCAATGCGCCTTTATTTTCATAGACATAAACTTATAGCTTTGTTTTCTCTTACTGTTTGTGTTTATTTATGTGACTGGACCACTAATGTTGGACACCACCTTCTTTTTCAGTTAAATTTCAGATATTCCTCTCTCAGTTCACGTTAACTTGATTCTTTGTATTACTTCGCATTTTTCTTACCCTTTAATTATATACATATTTCTTTCTTTCTTTCTTTCTTTCTTTCTTTCTTTCTTTCTTTTGTCGCTTACAATTTTGTCCTTTACCTGTTGCCTGTTTTTACTTTCCCGCTTCTATGTCTATTTTTATAGAATTTTGTCCTGGTCTTTTCATTGGCTTGGCTCCGTATTATAGCCTTCCTACTTTTCTCCGCCTCTAACTATCACTCTCTTAAATTTCCTGCTCAGATTTTAGTCTTCAGCACTGCATCTTGTCCATTCTTTCTTGATTCTTCACCTCTTCCGGAAGAATGATCCGTTTACGCGTGATGAAAAGTTGTTAAATTCGAATGATTACTTCTAATCAGGAATGACGTCTCGCCTGAAAATCCCGTAGGCTTTGTCTGGCGATTTTCGATATATTTTTCCGCTATACGTCCACCATATTTAGCGGCCATTACAGTGAAGACTTAATACAAACCAAGCAACAACAACAAAAACGAGTACATTAAACTTGAGAGATTCGGCATTTTACTATCTTCTGGCCAACGGACCAATACGAAAAAGTCACCAATTAAGATATCAAATGAGATAGTTTCAAATAAATACTTGGTTTAACAGATGTTGTAAGTTACTATGTGCTGTTCGTATAATGGATAATGGCTCGGAATTTGTAATCGGAGAGCTGAGTTCCAATTCCCTTTAGGTTCGTTGTATTCAGGTGCGTGAATATTATACCCTTGGAAAATATATGAATCATACTCTTCTCCTTACAGCTACGGGTTAATCAGAAACACTTGTATCATTATTATCTAAAAAAAATTCTTAAAATCTAGAAATATTTCCTGGTTATAAATAAACTGCAAAGCGTTGAAAGCTGTAGAAAACAAAATAATCAAATAGATACTGACACTAAATATAATGATTATACATAGAGTAGATTTTTTCAGCGTCTGAATGTTATATAGGAATAAAGCCTCGGTGCTGACACTTGAGTTTGAACATAGATCGCAGAGAACAAAAACAGGCGATCCCATTATTGAATTAAGTGGATCAGTTGCCCATAGATGAAACGCATGTGTAGGAAGTAGCTGACGACTAACGATCGTCATTCCTAGTCTATCCCTTCTTACTATTCCGATCGCTATATCTGTTCTATCCTCTATTACACATCTGATTGCTATTTCTATTCTATCCTCTATTACTATACGGACTGCTATTCTCTACTTTATTCACTATACTATTTCTCTATTCGGAACTACACGAGTTACTATTCGAGCGAGCAAGTACAATTAGTGCCACCAGTATTGTTCAACGGCGTTAATATAGTTGTATCTTCGATTACAAAGTCTCGACTACAAAGAACATTACGAAAGTGACAACGAATACTCGTTGTCATCACAAAATTGGCAACGAGTGTTCGTTAACATCACAAATTGAAATAGAAATTATGACTGTTTCATCCTGTTTTTATTCTATAGAGTTTACACAATAAAAGGCTCGAGTTTCCTTCATGGTAGAGGATTAGTGTATGTCGTATGTTACATGAATGTAAGAAGACGTAGGTTGAATGGTAGAGTATGATGGCAAGAAGGATAGTTAAAATATAGCCATTGAATTTGAGGGGTTTAATATTGTCGTGATCAGGGAAGCATTCACGCGTGAGCAGTTCTTGTAGAAAAGATTTCTGCGTAGATTTTTTTTCCTTACAATATCTGTGATGTGTCGATCGTTAAATATGGCAGTGAATACTGGATAATTTTCTCGCAGCTGAAAAATAGACTTGAGACAACAGGAAATGTGGTTCTACAGGAGAATGCTGAGAATACCGTGGATATTACAAGTTAGAAAATCACAAAATTTTTAAACGAAATAGAAACAAACAGGACCTTTTTTGTTAGAATCAGAAGAACACAGCTGAAATGTTTATGACACATAATGTCGTAAGAGGGCTTGGAGAATTTGACACACACAAGGCATATTGAAAGCCAGATAAATAAATCAATGAGCGAGCAACTTAACAAGGTTATATAAAGGCATGACAGATCAGCGTTTGGGAAGTACAGTAAAAAAATAATTTGGGTTCGCTCTGCTTATAAGTATCTAACCTTGTGATACATTTAGTTGTCTAATTCTACACTATTTACATTATTCGGATTATCATCCTCATCTTTGTCGCCATATTTATTACAACGGTTCGGGCCTTGTACGCTCTGGTCTCTTTTAGGTGGTTGGAAGGTCGAACTGAACCCTTTATTTCGCTCAATGGGGTAGACTGTTCTAGTTCCACGTGCCATGTCTTAATGGATGTCAGTTGTCAGTTATCTCCTGCTTAATTCCCCTCTCCAAGTTCTTCAACCCCTTAACCAGGTATTGAACTCACACTCTTCTGGTCGTGTCATTGGATCTAACTATTTAAGCTCTGGTAAAAAAAAAAATCGGTTGCTGAAGACATTATGTTTATAATACCCAGAAATTCATTCACATCAAGGACACAGAGCACAGTGGATAAAGGCGTTAGTTAGTGAATGAACCCAAAGAGTGTGAGTTTAATACCTGATTAAGGCGGTGGAGAACTTGGAGAGGTGAATTAACGGAATATAACTGATAACTGACATCCATTAAATGGTACTGAGCGAAAAAAAAAAGGTTCAGTTCGACATTCCAACAACCTGAAGAAGGCCGTTGTAATAAATATGGCGACAAAGATGAGGACAATAGACCGAATAATCTAAATAGTGTACATAATACCTCATCTCATAAATATAGACAGATACTGAAAGGTCGAAACGTTGTAATAAATATGGCGACAAAGATGTGGACAATAGTCCGAATAATCTAAATAGTGTACATAATATCTCATCTCATAAATATACACAGATACCGAAAGGTCGAAACGTTGTAATAAATATGGCGACAAAGATGTGGACAATAGTCCGAATAATGTAAATAGTGTACATAATACCTCATCCCATAAATATAGACAGATATTTTCTAATTCTCTTTATCCTCTTTATTTATTCAAATTATGTATCTTTTTCTTTGTGCCTTATCCATTCACAACTTCCTACCACGTAGCTATTAATGACATATTCTTTTTGCTATGTCTACTACCCCCCCCACTGATTCATGCATGATTATCAGGTAGGTGGCCCTCTTCCATCCTTGTTTATTTTTCTTCGGGAAGTCCTCTGACTGACAAATTCGCCAAGCAATCCTTCCTCATTATGTGTCCAAGGAATTTTAGATGCCTGTTTTCTTTGTTTTAATTTTCCATAAGACGTCTTGGTTACTTACGTGCTTCGTCTGCGGTATTCTCAAGACCATTCTGCCAACACAATCTTTCGATTGTCTCATGTCTTCAGTCCATCATAGAGGAGACTTACGAACAATCAGTGGCTTGTCATACGATTGACAGCATGCAGCATTTCATCTTTCTTCCCTTTGTTTTTTAAGGAACTTTTCCTGGGTCTTTGTTCATTGCTTAGACATATATTTCTGAGATGAGGTGTTTAAATAATTACACTAGTTAATTCACTTTGATAACTCAATCAACACTTTACCCACAAAGGGAACATTGTCTAATGGATAAAAGCGGCGACTGATTAATCCAAATATGTAACATCCTGAGTAAGGCGATAAACTACATCCGACAGCAAGACCTTTGGTCAAGAGGTTTGGAGGAGCGTAGAACCACCTTTTAATTGATGATGTTTCCAGGTCCACCCTGACCCGTGTTGGTATCACCTGTCAAAGTCCGAGCTATGGGCAAATAGTTAACCCCCACAAAATGGGTTAAGACAATATGAAAGTGTAAAAGATAGGTTCTAATATCAGAAATACTTTTTTGAAAATATAATACCAGCAGTACATTTTCGAATAAGAAAAATATTACCAATAATACATTTTTGAAAAAAAAAAAATATTACCCGCAATATATTTTTGAAAAAAAAATATTGCCAGCAATACATTTTTTTGGAAAAAAAATATTACCAGCAATACATTTTTGAAAAAAAGAAAGAATATAAAACCAGCAGTACATTTAAAAAAAATACCAACAATAAAGATCTTTTCGGCATTAGATAGATAGATAGATCGATCGATCGATAGATAGATAGATAGATAGAACATATTACCAGCCATAAAAATCTTATCTGCATTACATGACCTATTGAGGTTGGGATGCCGTAAAACGAAAACCAAACCCAACCAAAACCAAAAGTGTCTTGACCAAATGAACTTTGAGTTCAATCCCTGGCCTCAGCGGAAAGAACAAAACTTAGAAAGATATCGAGACGAATTAACTAAAACTGAGATATCCAAAGGAATGACACGTGGAATTAGAACGATCTTTTTCCGTGAAATAAATAAAGGGTTCAGTTCGAAATTCCAACAAACATTATCTGAAGAAGGCCAAATCGTAGAACGGCCGAAACGCCGTGAATGCGACAGGAAAGACGAGGAGAACAGTCCGGACAATGTAAATAGTGTAAACGCTTTGCTTAGTTTTTAGAAGTCATTTAAAGTTCGGATCGGTTTTCGCTGTTGTATTTTTCATCCTCTCTTAAAAAGCAACTTCGCAAATATTTAAACTTCTGTACTTGTTTGATTTGGAAATCTTTTGGGTCATATCTCTTACTGGATATCGTATTTTCATTATTCTCACAATTGACAGTTAGTCCATTCTTCTCGCTTTCCTTTCCTACCTTTTCTAGGAGGTCCTGTAATTTTTTTTTCTTATGCGCTATCTGCGTGCCTTAAAGTGTTACGATTGCTCACACTGATAATAAATCATAATCGGGTGTCCAGTTCCCTTAGCTTCGAAATATGTCTAACAGGATGATATGAATGAGAGAATTCCTCACCGGTTTCTTCCCTGTTGGTCTCTCGTATTCATCTACACGCAATCTATTAACTTCAATGATATTCCTTCCTTCTCTTCTTATTACGGCTCATCAGACTACAGGGGTTTCTAATTGAGCGCGCAACACTTAGACAAATATAGTCGAAATTAACTGGCAAGCATCCATTCCTTACGCTTGAATGTCTCGATTTTCATCTTAAATACACCGGGTGCGATCAAGTGGGTTGGAATACCGTTTGGTGTCGATTAGAATGCAGTCTTCAACCTCTTAAGAGGGGTACATCTGGTTTGGTGCGCATCTTAGCCATACTGTCTCACCTGATGTCGATTTG